TTGAAAAAGTTTCATAAAAAGGTAAACCTCACATTTCAGCCTTTAAATAAAGAAAAGATTATAATTTATAAATTATAGTCAATTATAATTTATTAATAAATGATTATATGTATTTTATCTGCTCCATAAATAATTCTAGATAACTTATCTTGAATCGCGATTCTGTCTTCTAACGATTCTAATGGATTGATTCACAAGTTTCAAAATCAATGTTCTAAAGCAGCGATTCTCAATACTGTTCCTCGCTCTGCATCTCTCTCTCTCTAATTCAGCTCAGCTCCAACAATGAACTGTTCCATTTATACACTTATTTTCACATAGCTATGAGAAGTGTTATACATGGACGCGTGTGCGGTTGCCGTACTGTATTAAACCTTTAATCAGCTTGAAATAAAACCGTATATTCAAAGCTAACATAAGCAGTAGCATTTACAAATAACAGCGTATCTAAAAGTATGAGACAACAACAAACAAAAAACATAGGCCTACCATTAAAAGATCACGTATTTCTGAGGGAGGGGCTTCATAAAAGCACGAAATTATCAGCACGTTTATGTGAGAAGGGACAGAGAGTAAAATAAAGGTAAATTATGTGAAAAATAATGCGTTTTTTTTTTTTTAACGAAGCATTAATACATGTTAGACTGCACCCCATAAACACAATCAAGCCTAGAAAAAAACCAGTGAACCACCCCTTTAAATTTAAGGCCATAAAAAGTCTTAAATTTGGGAACGCTAGTATGACTAGAATTGCGATACGGCTTAGTGTGACGATTAAAAAGGCTATGATTTCATTGAATAAAAATGAGCGCTACACATTTCAAAAATAGCTGCTGTGCTGCCTTACTGCTGTTACAGGGGAAACCGCTGTATTTCTGCTGTTCCAAAAGCGCCTCCTGCTGGCAGAGAATTAATGTGCATTTATTTAATAAGCCTGTCTGCTGTTTTTGTTCAGATAAATGCAAATACATTGTAAATGTGAACTAGTGGATCGATAAGAAGATAATGCATTCTGAAAAATTGTAACAATTAAGACAGTATATATATATATATATATATACAGTGGGTACGGAAAAAAAATTAACTTAAATGATTTTAGCAAATGGCTGCAATATAACAAAGAGTGAAAAATTTAAGGGGGTCTGAATACTTTCCGTACCCACTGTATATGTGTGTGTGTGTGTGTGTGTGTATTTAATTAATAGGCTATAATAATAGATTGATAATAATTGTTTAAATTAATATAATAATTGATACTTTTGCCTGAATTTACTTTAAAAATATTTTAAAGGCTGAAATGTGAAGTTAATCATTTAAAAAAAACTTTGTTTTTGTAAACAAAACCTTTATCTGAACTGTAAATCATGCTTTTTACAGTCATTTTAATTTTATTTGTGCAGGTCTTAAAGTCTTAAACATGAGCTTAAATATCCTGCACATACCCTGGTCTGGTAAAAACCATCAATTCATGTTTTTAGGTAGGCCTATATAATTGTCCGGACCTCGGCTGGTGAGGATGGTTCATTACTGGACCTCAAGCAATTTTAGTTGAAGACCCCTGGTGTATAGAATGTGTACAGTAGACAAGTCAAGTTGTGATACCGAACAGGACCACATGGAGATGCCAAAAATCCCCTCAACCAACCACCTTGAGCTGATTGCTTATAGTACTGCAGTACACAGATCCATTCAGAATGATTAAACACAGCAACATACACATGACAAATCAAATCATTATCCTGAATGTGTGTGGAAACAAAGTGAATGTGCAGAAATGTGTCTGTGCATATCTGTGCAACTAGAGTGCTCATACACGGTTTGTTTGAGCATCAATATATCGCACATGCTTACTGTATGACTCCTGTCACCGCATCATCTTTACCTTGATTGCAATCCTGTGTGTGGTTGTGTGAGAGAGTGGGCAAGTCTGCTAGGTAGACCAGGCTCGGACTGGAAAAGCAGCAAGTGCAACTGTGAGAAAGTGAATCTCTCAATTATCTGTGTGTAATTATCACTTACTGAATGGTTAAGGGCTGACACTGCATCTTGCCTGTGTCCTGATTTCGAGGCTGATAAGCTGCATTGGCAGCATTGGTCTTTCCATTGAGCCCTAAATGTGTGCATAAAGAAAATTTGACTTCAGTTGCAAAATGATGCATCAGCAGCAGCTTATAAATTACGAACACCTAGTAATCTCAGTCCTTTTGTTCAGGTGATGAGCACTGGCAAATAGAAAGCTGTTAAAGAGATATAAATCACCTTTATGTTGAGGCTCCTCATCACTCTGCTGCTCTATGAGGTAGTCCAGCAGACCATCAAAAATCTCCAACAGGTTTCTGATAGATTCTTTTTCTCCTCTAACTATATTCTCACCTACAGATAGAATGCATGTGTTATACATGAAGCTACACAAAACAAAGAGGAAATGCCAGTTTATGTCTGGCTAATAAAAGAAACCATGTGCTCTGACTGCTCTCAACAGGCATATTTAAAATTCTTATAGTTAAGTAGACACTTTTTAGATAGCATGGCATCCTCCAATGACAAGTGATTACAGACCATGTGAAGAGAGATGGACACAATGAAACATGCCTAACCTGTGATGTGAGATAAACTAATCTGAAGGTAGTCTAAGGCCAACGAGTCAATGACAGATTGCACATTGTGGATGTCATCTTCCTGGCGCTCAACAGCTACATAATCTGAGGAAGAAAAAGCCCATCAAATGAGATTCACAAATACAAACAGTTTATAATCTCCCTCTTCAATTGTAATAACCAAGCTGAGGCAGAAACAGTCCACTGATTCTGTCTTTGCAGCAGATCCAGTTTGGTGGATAACACACAATGGTTTTGTTAATATATTATTAATAAAATGTATATATTTTTAATTAAAATCTTTTCCCCATTCCAAAAAATGCAACCAAGTAAACAATGTATTGTTTATAATAATAATAATTATTATTATTATTATTAACAGTGTGTTTTATTTTTATATATTACTATTAAAAATGTATATTAAATATTTTTCCGCATTCCAAACAATGCAACCAAGTAATTAATGTATGATTTAGTTTATTATTATTATATTAATAGTTTATTATGCAGTTTGCAATGTTTGCAATAACAGTTGGAAATTATACTATATCTAAACACCCCTGTCATGTCAGATCTTTTTTCACCTTTAATGCAGTGGGGAACCGTCAGGGCCCTCTAGGCCCCTCAGAGAGGACCTAACTTATTGTAAAAACAATATTCACAATTTTTAAATAAATGTTTTAAAATATATTATTTTTAATTAAAAAAAAAGAATCATTACTAATTTTAAGCAATTCATAATTTGACAAACATCATCTAAATAACATAAAAACAACTTCTGTAGAAAAAAGAAAAAAAAACTCTTCAAATCACTGAATGGACTTATTAACACCGCCCATTTTCTCCATATTTGAATGTTTCTGCCTAGCGTTTGCGGCTCTTTGATTCGTGGTCCAGCTATGAAATTACAGAGGGCCAAGCAATAGTAAATCAATGTGGGAGTAATTTCGAATGACAGAAAAATTGACCAATCAAATCTTTCCTCTAAATGGGCGGGCCTTATCACTAACTTTATGACAAGTTCCCTCCGCTGTGGGGATCTCTCTGAAAAAAAATATATACGCAGATAAACTAACTAGCTATTATTCACTTCACGATGGAAGCCGCAAATAACGTAAGTGAGGACATTTACTAGGCCGCTGAGCCAATAATAATAATATTATTTATTATAAACACTGCTTGTTTGTCATGAAGTGTCGGTCGCTAATTTGTTTTGTGTCAGCGCTGTCATGATGTGTTGTCTTAAACATATTACATTTGTTGGTTTTCTGTGATGGGAGGGAGTGTCTGTACGTTTTGCCCGCTGAAGTGCAGATATTTGTAATGAGGATTTGCATTTGACTTAAATTTAGCGGTTTTATTTTGGTAATATCAGTCACCTCGCTGTGCTGTTTTGTTGCGGTCGCACATCGGACAAGAAGTACAGTGGTGCCCCGGTGCAACACGTATCACACACTGAACGCGTCGCGTCAGCAAACGGGATGAGAAATTGCGATCTATAGCACAATGAATCACGGAATTTATTAGAGCCACAGAAAGACAAACGTTTTGCTAAAAATTGCACAATACTACACATGTCGTCCGGTGTGCGATCCCCTTAAGACTGGATAGCCTCTTGTTTCAGAGGTGGAATGGTCAAAGGTGACTTTTAGAAGAGGACACCGTAAGCTAGGCTTGTAGTTTTTTCCCCCGACGAGGGTAGGGGGAGAGGGCCTAGGCTCAAGAGTCACAGTTCGCTACTGCTTTAATGTAATATTGAAACAAACAAAATCCATGTAACTAACAACTGAAACTTAAAAATAAAAGATATAAAATAACCAGGGCTCTACAGTGCGACCATTTCAGTCGCATTTGCGACTGAAAACTACTGCGATCATACTTGTGATCGCTCAGGGGAGCTTCAAAGGTTTCTACGTGTTTTTGCAACGTTGAGTAATGTATCACAGACATTTCATAAGCAACGTGTAGACAGGGTGTAAATAAGAGATTCATTGCGCAGTGTAGAGAGCTTCGTTGATTATAAATGTGAGATCGAGATGAACTAAGATGAGTGACAGCTTTTAATGATTTTTAAGGGAGTTTGTAAATGTGATACTGATTTAATACAATACAATTCAATAAACAAGAAGTTAATATTAAGTGACTTACATTGTCTGACTATAACACTATTGTCCGATTTTGCTCTATTTCGTCGTCAAAAATAGTTTAAAACAAAGGCACAGCGGAACCGCTGCGCATCTCTATTCAAACACAGTGGTGTTTCGTTTATGAATGAACGGGCGTTTTTAAACGAATCTAGTGAGTCAGTGATTCATGATTACCCATTCATAAAGACAGTCACTTGATTCATTCCTGAATGAATCAGCCGTTTGAATGAATCAATTGAATGAATGATTCAGTGATAAAAATCAGTGACTTGCCGCCACCTGCTGGCAGTTTTAGTTTAATTTTTAAAGTATCTTTTCAGTTATTTAAATCATTTAATATTTCTATACTAAACATTTTATATTTAAAACATTAATATCATCAGGAATTGATGGATTTAATTGCACTCATTCCACTTCTGAGCCTCATTAAATGTCTGAAAGTACACCAAGCCACTTTTGTGTTCTTCTGTGCCACCCCTACAAATTAATTTTGTTAATACTGATTTCATTTGATTGGTAACTTATATTTCTTATTCTACTTGTTCTTATTCTGTCGTTTTAATTACAATTTTTAAAAAGCTTATAAAATATAATTTTTTAAAGAATTTGACAAAAGATGACATACTTTTAATAAAGTTAGAGGAGTCAAATATCACCTCGTAATGGGAAGGCTACCTTTTGATAAAATTTTGGATAATTGTTTAGAAGGTGCTCCTAAAATTTTGAACGTGCTCCTAAATTTTTTAAAAAGAAAAGTAAGCGTAGAGCTCTGTAAGGGGTAATCTCATCAAAGTCAGTGAGCCAATAAGCCTGCAGCACTAGTGTTCGACTAGAAGTGCGCGGCGCAGATCGATCAGTGTTTTGACATCCACAAGAGCGATTCGAACGCGTACGGAGCAGTCTGCTCTCTATAGCTCTCGTGGTACTGTAATACACTGATCAGTCTGCACAGTCGGTCCGCGTTAAGTCGAACACACCTACTAGTTTACACCGGTTACACTCAGAGATGTGGCGCACACGTGA